GCCCACCTATAGACTGTATATAAAGATGAACGACATAACAGCTCCCAGGCATAAAGTCACCAAAAGTCGATCGCCCCCTGGTGGCTGACTGTTGTATAGCTCATAAACCCCGCCCCCTCCACGTTTACAGCTGGGACATGATCCAACCTAAAAATTCAGTACAAAGTACAAATCACATACATTTTTGTCAGATGTCATTTCAGGCAGTTTTTTACACTGATTTGTGTACAAGTTACATTTTGTAGCCTACATTCTCAATATGCATATCCAGAGTTAAGTGATCTTAGTGGGCTTTCTTACTGGTGCTGTTGCTCAAGATATCATTAAAATTGTCAAATATTTGCTGCCTTTTTAAGTCTATGAATCTGTAGCCTATTTTTTATTTCTGGCCACACATTTATAGGTTGCTCTACCTTGCATCATTGTTTTGCAAGCCACTGCCCCCCTCCTATCCACGGACGCTGCCTGCCATTCAGTATCATGTTGTTGCCCACTCCCCCCTTCTCCTTCTCCTCCCCTTTCCACGGCAGCAGCAGGTGTTATTCTCCTATAACCTGAAGATTTAGGTGGTAATTAGTATTACCTCTTGGCCCCAGAGAGTTATCTAGGCTTCATGGTAACGGCAGGGGACACAAGTCGAGTGTGTTTCTGGGTATCCGATGAGAGAAGAAATCACGCCTCAAAAACACGTGGGAGAGATTACTCAAATATGCCTCCTTTGTACCGTTCTCTCCCCCCGTCCAGCAATAGACTGCAGCTCATTTCCTTAATATTTTTGCAGGATGTCGGAAGCTGTAAAGCACCATAAATAACCAATAGCCTATATACACAGATTCCACTGTAGCTAGAGGATTTGACCTTGTATTATGTTGTCCTTAAGTAGGTAAATGTCCAAAAGATTAACAACACAAGCAAATGTACACCTGCAGAATTATGCATAGGATAAAGTGGCTCTGTCTGCAACATGTACACAATTAATCGTTCACGGTGCACTGCAATAAATGTAGGACTGGGCTATAATGATAAGCATCCTCCTAGGAGGTAATTAACTACCCCGCTATTACATAATGACAGCCCACACTTTTCACCAAACATCACCGGCCCGTGCACAAAGAATAAGGTTGTTTAAAAGATGTGTGCCAGTGCGTCCGCACCTTTTCGCGTCAGGCAGTCGTCTCAAAGAGAAACAGCGGCTCCGAAGCGAAACACCTTGAAACTGTCAGGATGCTCTTCGCAAAGAGTGCCAGTTCTTGGCAGGATCTTACCTTTGCTGCTATTGTTCTCTTCCCTGTTGAGATACATGGCTGTTACTTCACTCCGAGGCGAATACAACGGCGTTGTCACGGTCCTCTTGTCGGTACTCCTCTGGCGTGTGTTGTGAACTCCGCGGATGTGGTGTGTAGTACGAGCTGTTTATTGTTTTGTTGCTCCTCAGCAGCCTCTCCGGGTGGGAACCCCAGCCGGTTCGAGACTCTCACTATCTCTCTCCCTCTTTCTCTCTGCCCCACCCCCCCCACCCGCATCAAATTATAAGTTCAAGTCATGCATTCTAAGTTGTTATTAAACAAAAGTATAAAAGTATCATCAGCAACATTAAGCACTAAACTGCAGAACAGGCCCTTACAGAATGTCTTTATATCCAACGTGGTGCCAAAATGTTAGTCACAAAACATCAAATTAAACATAAGAGTCACACAAGCCACATGAAAATAAACAGGCTTATTTTGAAATAATTAATTGATTTAGCATTAATGGGTACTGGCGTTTTAATCTTGTACATAGAGCTGCATTATATACTTCTGAGCATTTAGGATGATCATACGTTTTGCATGTCAACTAATGTTGCCTAAAACTGAATTGCCAACTATTTTGAGTACTAATTAATCATTTAAGTTATTTAGCAAATGAAATGCACAGAAAGGCCTCCAGTCAGCCAGGGCTTGAACCCAGAACCTTCTTGCCATTAGTCGACAGTGCTAACCACCACCCCTATGTGAATTTATTGACCACATTATTAGGCACAGGCCAGAGATGAAGAGCTGTCCAGGAGCTGTTGCCAGTTTTTGTTGCAAGATGATGTGGCTGCTATGCAAATACTGTCCAAATTAGATGCAGAAATGAATTTTACCACTCAGTTTTCAGGCTGTTTTACATCACACATAGGCAGCCCTCTAAGTGGAGAATGAAATATCTGTCCGTGACCTTGACTTTGTCCTAGAAAAATCCAGTCAGAAGGCAAATTATAACAATGCCCTGAATTATTTTTCTTCCTTGCTCCCACAACAAAGCTGTGATGGAAACGTTTGTTATATCAAATTGATAGACTGAGACATGGAACATTACAAAGAAAATGGGATAAGTTATGAGTGTTATTAACTCTACAGCACAGAACCAACCACCACAGTGCCATTTGGTTAAAACAGAAGTGTAATTAAAGTACGATATTAAAATGGAAACAGTAACAGTCTGTGCTCCCCAATAACCTCCGACCTGAAATCTTAACATTGCAATCCATTAAAGTCTGTAATGTTTTTGTACTCCACAGAGTGTTAGCAGCTTTCAGTGTGCCTGACCAATAAATATGCAGGTTCTCCTTACAATCCTGCAAAACAAAAAAGCTAATATTCCATTCAATCATGTGGCTTGTTGATATCACAGATTACAGTTCAATAGGATATGAGTAGAGCTGTACTTTAGCTGTAAATGTTGTGAGCATTTGCAATACTGCACCCAACAGTTTGTCTGTGTTTTGTCAATAGAGCTGGGGAGGTCATTTTCTCAAAGTATCATGCAGTGATTTCCATTTGATTATATTTTGTTTGGCGCTGCGCTCGGTGCTATTTGTTCACTACTGAGAATATTTTACCTTTTGTTAGAATTCTCTGCAGACTAATTTGACCACATTCTATTCCCAGATTTTCCCCTTCTGTGCTCCCAGCATCATTGTGCCTGTCACTGATGCCTCTGTCTCCACTGGTATCTATAAATACCCCATCTCTCCCCTTCAAAAACCCGATTCCCATTGATTTAGTGACCCATATACACATCACCACCAACCCTCCCATCCTCTAGATTTCTGCTCCTTCTGTTGATGGTTCTTTACTGTTTCCACCTCTTTTCTTCCATCAGTTTCTCCCTTTAGACTAACACCTTCTCCCCTCCTCTTGCTAGCAGGCATGAGAGGCCAATAATAGTTCATTGTGGAAGCTGAAGTCATGTCACATGAAAGGGGTTTAAATGAGCAATAGAACAGTGGCTGGTGCTCATTTCTATATTTCAAAGTCTTGTCACTGTGGTAAACTGAGCCACTGGCTAATCTCTTGTGTGTGAGTAAACACTGATGAAAGGAATCACTCAAAGAGGCACAAAATTCAATACAAAATCTGACTATAGATGAAATAAGACCTGGATTAAAAGACAGGGATTGCTAGAAACACCGCAACATGCATGCATGTGTGTGCAGGGTTTTATGAAGATGCTATGATATAATTATGCTGCAAAATAGCACCCTGGAAACTAACGCTATAGTGTTAAATACAGCTGGGGATTTATAATAGATAAACCTGTCATAACAGTTCAGCTGAAACATGCATGCGGGATTTAGGAATCCCAAATATCATATAGAAACACATCCCATACCAAGTGAAAACACAAAGACTGCAGCAAAAAACATCGGTGTACATACAGTATTGTTGTGAGAAACAGAAGCTAGCATGACTGAGAATAAGACTCAAAGAGTGAGATCAGAGTGCATGATTTGCTGCCACACCACCCAAGCTTCTGCATACACCTGAAGTATACAGTACAGCACTGCTGACACTCTTCCCACTCCCAACACAGCTCTACTGTGACACCACACTGACACCTGGTGGCTTCACAAGGCAGCAAATCATCTCATCACATCACAGAGGTCTGTCATCCTCGTATTTTTCATACTACCGCCCTGCTGTTTGATTTTCAGGGGTCCATTACAAAACTGCAGCATCAGTTCTTCTTTGTTCTGTCACACTGGACATTGAAAACCGCTGCAGTGATGAGCTGAAAAAAAAAACAACCCTCTGCACAGACAAACACATCAGGTGATTTAATGACAATCAGTTTATTGAACAGCAAGTTGTGAGAGGGAACACAATATTTTTTCTGTTTTCCATTGCACTGCAAGCAATGTGTAGGACAACTGTCATTCACCGCACATATTCATAAGAAACCCCTATGTCAGAGAGAGACACGTTCTAGATGTACAGTGGGGTGGGGTCCTTGTTATTTAAAGTGCTATAATGCACAATTCCTCTTGGAGGAAGAGAACAGAGGTTGTGAAGAGAGCTCAGACACCAGACGGTCTCCAAGGTCCCTATTTGTATTATTCTTAAAAAGTGTAATGTTGTGTTTGCCAGGTTGTGTTGAGTGTTTTTTTTTCCCTAGTGTCTGTCTGGCTTTGACTTGCTGCATATCAGTGAGCTGGTTTATGAACAAATCTTTTAGGTTAAAATGTAATAAATTCTTCACTATAATTATAATACATCTCATAATATCTAAGTTACATTCTTATATCTGATTAGTTTAGAATATATAGGCGATATACATTTTGTGGCTAACTGCTGAAGGGTAACATAATGGACACCACTCTTATAATGACCTGTCATCTCATCCCTATGGATCAGGGTTTACAGACATAAATAAACTTTCTTACATCTCCACTGCAAATAAATCAGACTTTGATCCATGTCTGTAAAAGCAGCACATTGTTTTCCAAGGACTTGGTCTGAGAATTCATAGAGGACCATGTGGTCTCTTGTGCCTCATAATCCTTTGTGCTTTCTTTGATTGTACTGTATACACTCCAAGTCACACATTTGGTCTTTTAGAAACTTCTCTGCGTTAACCTGCACCCCAGCTGTGGCTGCTGGGGGGAGCAGATGGCAGAGGAGTGTGACAGATATTAGAAAAGGGGGAAGAGAGCATTGGTCTGACAAAGAGAAAAATAGCGCAGTGTCACACTAACTACAGCACTACACCGTGATACACAAATGCACATACATAACCAAATCCACAAAGTCAGTGAAAATTCACAGCTGTGTAAAACAAAATGACTTCTACAACATTTTCAAGATTAAACCAAAAACAGATTTTAAAAAAAAGAAAAAAAAAAAAGATAACGAGGAGGGGCAGTGGGGTTTAAAAAAAATCATAACAATAATCTCAGTGACACAAAAATAGCCTTTGCTATCACAATAACAGCATATGAGAGATGAAGTGGCAATTGGAATGTCAAAAAAAAAAAACTACAACAGCTATATCTAAAGGTGAGCAGGTCTTTTTACCATGTTCCTTGTCAACTGCCAACATGGCTGGAGGTGCCAGTCGAGGTCTAGCAGTTCTGTTGTCCCCTGCCTTACCTATAGCTTTCATTTAAGACAGCAATAATGCTGAGAATCACTAGCATGAGATTCAGTCGCTACAGCCTTGGTTGTTAGTGCTGCCACTGTCATGTTGCAGTTACTTCATGAAAGGAGCACCATTCAAAAAGACTACTGGCCTAGTCTACGGTGTCATTTTATTTAAATTTCCAGAACAGTTTAAGTAGTGCCTTAGGTCATTCACTTAAAACTAGCTACATTTCTGTCACCAACATATGATACTTCATTTGTTCCTAGTTGATAGAACAGTAGGAAACAGGACAAAGAGCTGACCCACAGACTTATCCAGTAACTCAGGAGAAGTGGCACCTCCAAAAACCCATCTTACATCTACACTAGTACTCCCCTTTGCATACAGTAAAAACCATCATCATTGGCACCTCCAAAAACCCATCTTACATCCACACTAGTATTCCCCATTGCATACAGTAAAAACCATCATCAATATGCTGCAATATGCTGATGGCAGATGCATTAAAACATGTTCCTTCATTTGATATGTCCACATCATCATAACGTAAAATCACTACAATATTGACTGGGGGGGGAGCTGGAGAGGTAGGTGTGCAAATAAGCCATCATATACAAAACAAACAATAAATCCTAAAACATAAAGTTCATATCATCTGCATATATACAATATAGTTAAGGTGGATACTTTGACAGAAAAAAACTACACATACAAATATATAGCGCTATACCGCCTATAGAAAGGAATATTGATAAATAGAACTCACTCCCACAAAAGTACATTAAAAGTTGCATCGCGTATCTACAATACAACAGTACAACTGACAAGCTGCTTCCACAGTGGGAGGAAGGAAGGAATGTGATTGGATAGTAGACATCAAAGTCACCTTGATCTCCGACAAGATAAACCAATGACAGGGCTTCACTGTTCTGATGCTTAAACAACATACAACGGGGCTGCGCTTCCCGGCAGCTTTGTTTGGTAAAAATCACACTGTTTTGATTATCTGATAAAGAAAGGTTTGTCATTAGCTCTTTGGGTCCTGCCACTGAATTCCAGTTTGAAGAAAAAAAAACCTTTAAATTGAGTAGTAACTCATCTGTAAACAATTGTAATTGTGCCTGGACCTATGGAGACGTTAACTACTCCAGCTAAAGTTTTATCGGCTCCACAATGATGGGGCCTCAGCAGGTGATGTCTGAGCATTTGCAAGCATAATCACTGAATATGTACTAACAACCTGTAATTCTATTAAAAATGCTTTCAACCTATTTTAGTGTTGCTATCATCTGGATCCACAGTGAATCAGAGAAAAACTGCTGCTGCACTGCTCCGTGGACTGAGACCTTAACACCCTTGTTATGACATCACAGATTGGGGTGTGGTCAAAAGCCAAAACATGCCTGCCAGTTTTGCCCCATAGGAAAAAGAAGCGTAGAAGCAGTTTTTTTGTGTCAGTGTTACACTATGTAGACATGTAGCTTGATAGTGCAAAACGGCCAAAGGTACCCATGTCTTTTCAGTCTAGCGTGTGACCAGGAAATAGAGCTATCTTTCACAGAGGCAAAACAGTGAAACCATTGTGGTTGCACGTAAGTATCAGATGAAAGCGGATCTACTTAAAAAGCCAAAGTAATCAAAGTCTGCTCAGAGCTGAGTTCATTACAACCACTTACAGGAACGGATGCGCATTCTCAGGAAAGATCATAAAGGTGTGCTGGTATCACATCAACATGTTCTCTGCCTCTGTTTGAAAAAGAAGCGTATATTGTGCTCTGATGCTATGTATACTATATTGTAAGCCATAAGGTCTGTGGAAAATCTCGAACTGCATTTCAGATCTCTCAAATATTTTAATGTAAGATATGTGCATTTAATTTAGCTACTTGGGTTTATATTTTTTACTGTGGTCTTCTCTGTTTATCAAAGGCTAATGCTGTTTAAAAAAAATAAACAGATACTGTAGGGCCTGCAGAATTTGCAGCAACCAAGGACAATACATCTACTTTGAAAGTTCAACAATCACATCCAATAATGCAAAAAATGTTGTAATCGAAGCGCAACACTTCTTCAACTTCAACTTCAACTGATATTTGTGGCTTCATTTCCAGAAAGCTAGCTGAGGTAGCCTACTGGAATGTCTTGTGCCACCATAGGCAGCTCGGCAAACAAAGGCTTGCTCTTGAACTATTTCAACATTCAACACAACAAATTTAAAACTACATGTTTTGATTTGATGACCCACTGAAAACGTCTTTCAAAATGAGATGAAATCCTCACACAGTTGGTGTGATGCTTTATGGGAGGGAAAGGCAGAAAGGAGGTGCTTCTTTAGCTGTGTTTTTTAGGCGAGAAGCTGAGGATAAATTCACCCACACCCAGGAAGTAAACCACCTGGGCGATGCCAAACAGAGGTGCAATGACCAATGCCCGACAGTAGGCTCCCTTCAGGAAGGCTGATGGCCCCTCATTACGCATGATTTTCCTACAGAGCAAATGAAAGCTCATTATATAATCTGACCTGCACAGCCACCACTGGTTATGTGTCAGAAGATATGATAGTGGATTGCACACACACACACACACACACACACACACAGTGCAGCAGTAAAGACATAATGAGGTTACCTGATACAGTCAGTCACTCCACTGTACGTGTCTTCTGTGCTGCCTCTGGTCAGAGACTGCAGTCTAGTCTTTATCACTGTAACACACAACGCTTAGGTGAATATATAACATCAAGTATCTGTGCATGCATTGCTTTAATAATGTTTACGGTTTCACTACTCACCATCAACAGGGTTGACAGCAACAGCCGCTGTGCTGCCTGCGATGCAGCCTGATATAAACGACACATAAAAAGGAGCAGGGCCATCTGTGTCTCTTTTACCCAGGTCGTTCAAGTTGGCAAAAAGGGGGAAATAGATCATGGAGAAAGGAACATCCCTAGAAAAAGATGATCACAGTAAGTTTTCAAAGTTCATTTGATTTGGTTGCTAAACTACCACAGGGTTACCAGAGCTGTTTTACCTGAGCAACGTGGCACCAAGGCCTTTATACAGTCCAGCAATGCCTTTTTCCCTCAGTAACTGTCTTGTGAGCTGCATGGCTGTTGGAGACTTGGCCTCCACAGTACCTGCAGCCACTGTCTGTGGCATCAGCTTCCTCTGAGCAGCTATGGAACAAAAGAAAAACAAAATTAATTATGAGAAAAAAAGTCTTTCATATGAATCTACTATTAGTACAAAGAAAGGCAGATGGGAAGACATTTTGAATTGATGACTGTAATAAAAAAAAAAAAAACACATTAAAAGGTATTGTAATCACTGGAATGCCCACATGAGGCCACTGTTTCTCTCGATTATCAATACATAGCTCATTCTTTGCTAAATCACCATCTGGATGTAATTTCCTCTTACCAAGGCGTCCAGCATCTTGGAGCTGGATTTTCAACATCTCCATAGGAGTTGTGACGATAACCTAGAACAAAATAAAATAAAGGAGTCAGGCACAGTGTAAACACACATCATTCATTCATCCCTCATTAATGGGTAAGTAGCATTTCAATGTTGTGCCTGGTCAGCATAGAGTTAATTATAGCTGCCCTGTATATTGCTGGGTAATTTAATATAAACATACACTCAGTTGGAAGCTTAATAGGAACACATAGCTCAAGCTAAAGTAGTCAAACTCTACAGTCCTGTCTGATTATTGTGGAAGATGTAGCTGTGATGCTGTTGAACTGTATTACATTATGCTGATAAGTGTTTCTATTATTTTGCCCATCCCATTTATATAAAGGGAGGCTGGGCTAAATTACAGAAACACCTCTCTTATAACCTAATAAACTGCCATGCACACGCTGAATACATCAGCTGACTGCTCCAGCATGTGAATGCAAATAATTTGAAAGTCAGAGTTTGGGAGTGATTAGTACTAAGCGTGTCAGACAAAACATTTGTACAGTATAAATCGAGTGTCATGCATTAGTAAAATGTCAAGTCTCGTTTTCCTCTGTAATCTCCAGAGTAGTAACAGTTAACTGGATTAAAGGTGAGACGGCCATGTTCTCAGATACAGTCTTAATCCAAGGCCTGCTACACTTAATCTAATCACGTTCCTCGGACTTGAAGCCTTTGCCCTCATTGACGGCAGACATTTCTGACTCACCCACTCAGTGCACAAGGCCAAGCACTCTACAACATCTAATCTGATCACTCATATCTAGCTGACAGTGCATCGCCTGCTAACAGGACAGCATTTCAGTAATAGATCGTTCATTAAAATGGAACATTACAGGTCACGTTCAGATCACAGAGGCAAACTGCAAGCATGTTTCTGCAACTACCACCTCTCATTTACAGTAAACATGGGCATGGTTAATTTTAGCTACCGGCAGAGACAAATGAGCAATGGCTGAGGCCCTGTGGTTTGTTAGTGATCTGACATACACAGTGGTAAAGGCAGGTGTCCCTAATGGAGAACAGGAGGATGCAATTAAAGCAGCACCCTACTCACTCACCTGGCATGTACCTGCCCCGCACCCAGCCAGCATCTCTTTGAACAGAGTGAGTTTTCTGGACAAACAAAAGGACAAAAAAGCAAGCCCATATTAAAGCATGCAATAGACTGACAGTGTGAGAATGACTTTATTTCCACTGTCCCCGAAAAAGAAGATGTCACCCCCTGCACTAGTGATCTTTGTCTTGCATGTCAGGACCAAGAGCAGATTAATAATTCACAAGATTATCAACTGTGAAAGACAAGTCAATGATTCATCAGTCTGCATGTTTGTCACTACAGGGATGGACACAGATGCCCCAGAAACCTTCAAGCTGGGGGACAATTATGTGTTACTTGGTAAAAGATATTTTAGACAGGGCTTCTGCTTGTACAATCACTACTGTGTTTTTATACCAGACAGTTAACCAACCACTGTGAAACGCTCGATGCTTCAGACGACATGACAGAACAGTGGAGGATTAACTGTAGTCTTGGTGAGAATACAGACAGCTATCGGGTCAAGTTACATTGTAAATCTTCCAGTTAATCACAGTGTGAAGTGGGAGCGGGTGTATGTTAGTAAGCTTGTCAGCATTTTGACGCCTTACCCATCCTTAGAGAGGTGATGCCTGAAGAAGTCATTGGCAGCCAATTTGATGGCTTTCTCTGGTGTAACTAGTGTTAAGTTCACCGCTGCTCCTGAGAGAATGAAAAGGACAGAGAGCAAAAAAGACAAGCACAAAGAACAGAGAAAACAGAAGAGAATGATGAAGTCTACGGCAAAATGTTTCTCTCATGTTGTTTATGCTGGTCCTATTCTTCACCACAAACTGACTTTCAAACTTAAACACATACCTCGATACATCCCAAAATACCCCTCTGACCGGATAGTCTTAATAAGGCAATCTGACCTGAAAGACCAACAGTTGGTTTGTTAGAGCTGGTCAAGAGTCTGATGACAAGTTCTGACTATATAGCCTGTGATTTGAAAGTAAAATACACATTTTCATACATGCTGGTGTAAATGCGAGATCCATTTTGCTGGTTTTGCAAGCGAGTCTTGGCCAGGTCAATGGGAAACACACAGGTCACTCCGATTAGGCCAGCGATCCCCCCATTGATCAATTTAGCAGGCAAACTGGATGAAGGCGATGACCACAGACAAAGAGACAACAATATAAACTGTGAAGGGTCATTACATAAAAACAAGGCCACTGTGCTGCTTATTTGTTGCAATCCTTTGTCCTCATTCCACTTTCAACTTTACCTGATCTGCTTGTTAGCCATTTATCTGAAGCCCCAGCTGGTCAAAGTGCCAATCTGTCTGTTAGCTAGTCACTCGCTGGTTGTCCTCGTCTTTTGTCGTTTGTTTCTGTAGTGTGCTGCTGTCCAAGCGGGAGATAAGGCCTGGTCCACTCGTCTGCTTGGAGTTGTTGTTAGTTCAAGTTGGGGGAGATCTATAAAGACGCAGCAAAGGACCTGTTCACATTCAACACTCATATAAAGTGGCTGTTAACATGAAAAATCCAACAAAACAAAGGATGTCAACATTTCAGAAGTTATAATGGAGCAATGCTGGCTTTACAAACATTTCAACACCTGCTTTAAGTAACAAGCTGGTACACCCCCTGAAACATACTGCAAAAGCTGCAAAGTTTTACCCTGAAAGGATCAGCATCAGTTGGTTAGAGCAGAAATCAATTATTGTTTTCATTAGCAATTAACAATTTGATCAGTCTAAAATCGGAAAAGTCAGAACTTACTAAAGCCTAAGGTGGTGTGATCAAATTGCTTGTCTTGGCACAACTGTCCAAAATGCCTATAGCGGTCAAAACTGGAAGTGCAACTCTCGCAAATAAACAGCTAAAAACATGTTAAGTGATTTTTTGTTGTTGCTGTTTTAGTGAGATTTGAAATGGAAGTGTTACAGTGAGGTGTCAACATGAAGCCTGACTTCCCGTGGAGACTTAATTTCACCACTGAAAGTCTGCCAGAGAGTACATACACATTAAGTCAGTAAAATAAAGCAATAATATACATCATCTTCTCTCTCTTTCAGGTCTCCATTTAGAACAAACATGGGTTATTCACACCTAAAAACTGAGCTTTTTTAAAACAGTCTCCAGAGTGGATCTAAAAATGTTTGTGTGTGTGTGTGTGTGTGTGTCAGGGGGTTTTGGAATGCAAATTATACTCTTGACAAGTGACTTGCACAACTAATTAATTATCAAAACAGTGAGAGTGTTTGACTGGCCTATTGGTTTCACTCATACAGTTGACTATTAGAAACTCTGTATATGGTCCCTCTTTGTCATCTAAAACACACACCAGATCTACAATATGAACAAGACACGTCCCCATAGTGAACCACTGCGTCGCATAATTAGATAACATTGCTCCCTCAAAATAGTACTTCAGCCATCACTGTAGAGGGACTACTTTCTGTCAAAAAAGAAAAAGAAATCACCACTGGAACATCTCTGACATCATATGTGTCCTTGAACTCTCATGTTTTATGCATAAGTGCTTTCATTGTGAACGTGGAGTCACAGAGGGAAAGCTCTTATCTCTGCATGCTAAAATGACAGTTTAGAGCAAACATGAAATATGTGTGATGTGGCCAAGATGCTCCCTATTTTTGGTAAGTGCAGCATGTCCTCAGTGTGAAGAGATGCTTCCCATTTCCCCTTTCATTCTCTCCACCCCCTCCATCCACCAATCACAACCTGCCTCTGTGTGTGAAACCTGCCTCCTCCTCTCTCCTCCTCTCCAGCCCTCCCCCCATCAGTTTCCTCAGTCACGAGTCACTTCTGTCAAACACAGCGGATCTTTGCTGACTTGTGGGTTTCTTTGTGAAGTGAATATGTGTGATACACCAGTATCACAAATTCCTCAAGTTCAGTTTCCCAGAGACAGCAGAGCACATCTAGGCATGAATGAGTGCAACTGTGGACTGGTGTGTTTACTTTGGATGGAAACTTGAGGACATCACTGGCTGCTCCAGAGGTGGAGGAGTGGGGAGGAGAGGGGGGGTTCAGAGCAGGTCAGCGAGCTGCTTCTCTGGTCTCTGTTGACCAGGTGTTCTTTCAGCCCTCTAACTCTGCCGCACATCTCCCAAAGTCTGTTCATCAATTTCACCGTTTCCTCAACCAGCATTGATTCTGAGCCCACCTTCTCACTTTACTGCATGCTACTTTCATTTCCCCATTTCCTCTCTGACTTCCTTTTGAACATGACCAGGGCTTGCTGTTAACTCCATAGTCAGCACTCTGAATTCTCTTTAAGTAATTTACAGAAGACTACGTGTTCTGTTAATAGGACTGAAGAGAAAATGCTGTGAAGTCTTAAATGAATCACCCATCAAACTGGCATCTCCCTGCTTCTTCACAGTTTTACAGCTTTACTCGTCCAAGTCAGTTCATCTGCACAATTCAACTGTGTCTGCACCACGACATACTGTACATCTGACCCACAGTCACAGTCTGGCTGTAGTGTCTTGTCATGACAATTGGAGTCTGTATGAAAACAATTAGCCCCAGTGTGCGGTGTCCACAGCACAGCGGCATCACTCACCAGCCAAGCCTCCAGGTCACTGCTCCCCCTTTTATCCATGAGAAAAACTTCAACCATCAGAAAACTGCAGGAAAACCAGCTAATATTCTCTCCGTACCCCAAGTAACCACATTACTACGTCGCTTTAAAGCCGTTTTCATTGCATAGTCACTGACAAGACACCAGATTAAAAGTAAATTTAGAACTTCTGAAACAAATTAGCCAACCACAGCAACTTTAAAATCTCGTTCACACACAGACACACGCACATTCACACAGAGGTCATATTTTGAGTTTATACCTCTAGAGCAGATAAGCAAACAACAGACAAAGTGACTGTGCACCCAGCCAGTGGATGTACTTGATTAAATGGCTAGTAGAGAATCCAGGTACTGACTGGGACACAGTATAAAAGCTCTGTCCTGACCCTTGCTCATCATTTAAACCTGAACAATGAAGCAATAAACACCGACTTACCAATAAGGATATTATGTAAGAACCTTGCCAGTAAAGCCGCACACAGTCCTAAAGCTGCTGGAAGCTAGAATTGTAAATTCCTGAAAGCATTTATAGATGAACGTCTTAAGTTTCATGTCTAGTGGGATTGTATGGCAATGTCAGCAAAATTATTTACATACCATGTATGAATATGCAATAACATAACAAACCAATAATGTATTAAACACAATGAACAATCATAAATATGAAACTCTTCCTAATTCATTCAATTCTCCTGAAAGATCTGAATATTCTTTAACTGACATGAACATGATGAATAAAATGTTCACACCAATAAAAAGGACTATAATAGTAAAAAAAGCCATTAACAGTAACATGTCCCAGTCACAAAAGAACTGCACAAACAGAACCTAACAAATGTGGCCCAGTTTATTTCCTATGCAAATTATATTCCTTACATTCAAATCTACCAGAGGAAAAAATGACCTTAACCACCACAACTCCTAGGCTGCCTCTCTGAGCTCCAGGAGGACAGGCCAGATTTATAACACTCAATCACTCTTACATTCATTCTGGAGCCATTATTTTTCTAATTAAGTATTCATTTGTGGGTATTAATTAAACCAACTACAAAATTAAGGACTAGTACTTAGGCTACTAGTTCCAGCTTGATATTGTCCTTATGTATATTTGCTGTATTAATTATTTCTAAAATGACTGCATTTTAAATAGTTTCCTTTGCTTGTGGTGGTATCTACTGTTCTCACAACAAAACTGAGCAGTTATTGTGCTGGTATGCCTTTTTGAAATAAGGATTTATAAGATGTGGTCTATTTTTGGACATTAACAGCACCGAGTGAGGTGTGGTGTCACAGATAAATCTGATTGCTAGTTCCCTACAGCATCAGGATTATAATCCTAATACCTGTTTATGAAAGCTCTCCCACAATGTCCATTTAAAACCAGTGGAAAGACAATCTGGAAGCAGCAATGCATTTCTGCTGCAGGTGATCTACTCTGAGTTCATGCTGCAGCCGTTACATCTGCCCATTAATGCAGTTTTATTCACCTGCTCTAGATCAGGAATAACAGGCGAAGGCCAGGTTTCAGGCAGAAATGCATTAGTTCCTCCTCAGACAACACAGGTATCCCTGGTGGCCCTGTTTACCCAGTCACCTGGGGGTTTTCTCTTGTATCTCCTGTTTTGCCTCCATCTCAGCTTTCCCGCAGCTTTGATAGGGAAATAATAATACCACTGTGAGTGGACTTTCCTTAGATAGAAAGCCAAACACAGAATTAAGGCATTTGGTTACAGTTTGCAGATTAAAGTAAGGCCCCGAATGGCCTGAAAGCAGTTTTTCCTCACCAGCACTAGCCCTCATTACCATTCAGTGCACATAAATCAGTGACATTTCATAGTCTTTGCATCTGGGATTTTAGCTGTACACCTGTGGTCCTGCATACAGAATGAAAACATAATTGTTATTTTCCGCATTACTGCCAAAAAGGTACAGCTGTTTCACTGGTAAGCACAGGATGTCACCCTAAACCCAAGAATGGCTCACCTCATCAATAATTTCAAGGTTGAAGGAATGCTTTATTACACTGCTTGGCCTCATCATAACCAATACAATGGAAACTGTTTAACAAACTCTTCTATAAGCATGCAGTGATGTATGTGTGCCTGTTTGCTTAACATCTGGCTCAGCAGTTAAATGTTACCCATATGTGTTTAGGAGGAGTTTGTGACCTTAGTAGCGGCTATGCATGCCATTTAGCAATTATGACATTACTTAATCTTACATTTCTATTAAATATGGCATTACTTTAATTCAGATGTTACACTATAGGTTAACATTTAGCTACAGAGTGAGTCTGCCTGAGGTGAGTGGCTCCACTTCTTTCTACCAATGAAAGAGGAGGTGGTGTAGTTCAGGTGGGTTTCGCCCTCCACCACCTACACCCCGGTCCACACCGCCTCACTACCGAGCGGATCCCGGCACACGGTGGCCGCAGTGGACCCTTGGACATCAAGGAGACATACGGCAACCGGCCCGGTGTATTCTTTACTAACACACAAACCCAAGCACACTACAATTTCGACAAAGAAACAGGAAACACCTGTTTCTGACGTGATCATGAATAACAGTAACACCTGCGTCTAACGGCTCGTCGATTTCCAGGGTAAAATATGGGACCTATATTACCTGGAATAAAAATAACAACCTTTATTTATGCGAGGTTCTTGACCTTAATGCTGCCGTAGTAGCTTTAATTTTAGCAGCCGCCAATAGGCCGACTGCTAACCTAACGTTACTTCTTCAGCGTTAAATCCTCACATGATAAAAAATGCTAGGGTTGCCAGATAACGGGAAATGATTTATTACATCTCACAACGACCTCAAACAACCACATCCCTGCTTCACATACTAGCTAGCTATTCATTCCATGTTATGCCCATTATTTAAATAAGGAAATTTAGGTTTTTTTTGTCGCCTTGACGTTATTCCCAGGTAAGATTGGAAAGGCTTCAAGCCAATGGACACATTTGCAATGCACGCCTTTTCTGAATCAGACAGCCGCCACTCAGGACTTTCACTGCATCCCGTTATGTACATACCACATTGATGTTTCCCGGTGTAGTGTGACAGCAAAGCCTTTATTTTCTGTATCTTTGGCTGACAGAGCGACTAAAGTGGACCTACCGGCGTTAGTAGCATTTGGAGGGAGGTAGCGGAGGTGGGAGGGATCGAGGAACAAGGCTGTCTGACGATGGAGTGGGGAGGAAAAAATAGAAAGAGGTTTAAAACGGGGTCCTCTAGTGGTATGTAGTAGAAGTACAAACACGTTTTATTAGCAATAGAAGTGTCAGGGTGGGGGATGGGGGCCAGCGTCATCATGACGATTCATCTTAAACCAAGGACCTTGAACACACCGAAATAGAAAGATTTAAATACTAGGGATGGGGGGGGGAGTAGTAAACGTGTCTAAAAGACGAATGAGTCACTACAGTATTCTCTGGAGAAAGTGTAAAAGTGTAAAAATTTTAAAAACCCCAGCTGATATGGAGTATTTCTTTACATCAGTTTTTTTTAAAATGGAAATTCATAATTACAAAAGTCTATTATCTTTATATCCACTGTTCTACAGCTAAACATATGGCTCAGTGACTAAATGCACACATAGAAGAAATTTAATCAGCCATACAAAATGGCTTTCTCCTGACTTTCAGTGCATCACTCAGCCCACAGTTAAGTCCCACAGCTCTGTTTGCTCTGCCTGTTAACTGTGTCCTGAACCGGTAATGGTGAATTATATGTAAACCCATTTCTGCCAAGAAAAAGAAAGATACTAATGGTAAGTGAGAATGATAAAATACTGAGTCAGAAAAATGGCCTACTATGCCAAACCTTTTAGTTAATATGTCAAAATGCTCAAGCAGTAATTCAATTACAAAATACCAAGTTAAAAATGACCACCTACTAAGCCACAGTTAGTGCCAATGACACGACCAGTCGTGTCCTATCTAAGTCTACATAATGAGATACTAGTACATCAAAATTTTGACCTAGTGATTCCGAGTATTTTTATCAAGTATCTTTTTTTGTTTCCTGGCAGAAATGAGCCTTGCATACTGAGACCGTTCTGAACAAGTGGAAAGTGGGAAAATTCCACAGACCATCAAGCTCATGCAGCTCATCCATTCCACCTGTTATTCTCCAGGTTATGGTGATTGTGTAAAAGAAAATTTTGTGCTCTAGGACAGTTATTTAGACAGCCAGATAAGAAGATGGGGGGACATTTTAAACAAACAGGTTACTCAAGTGTAAGTCAGCCATCTGCACCCAGCATGGGCTCATCTACTGCTGTGTTTCACCGAGGGCTGCACTCCCCGCTTCTAGGCCCACTCGCCTCAGTGACTCTGAGTACTTTCTCTTTCCTAGTCTAACAATGTCCTCAATCTCATCCGCCAGGTCTCTCCTGCTGCTTTCTATCATAGCAGCCACGAGCCTCGACACTGCCCCAGGTCCTGCATTCCTCTGTTCCCGGGCCCAGAGGAACAGCATGTCCAGCACCAAGGCTCCCAAGTTGTCCCTGGTGGCAAGAGCAGAACATAAATTTTTCTGGCTACAGTGATCTACGAAAGAGTTGTAAAAAATAAAAGGCGTGACATATATTTTGACTTAAAACATTAGCAGTTATTGCATCGCCACAAAATTTCAGTCTCCCAGTAATCATTTTAATCAGAATAACCACCTAAGCATCTCTTATTGTATGCCACTCAATCGGTAGCAGGGCCATATAAACTTCACACTACTATATGTGTGAATTCCACTGTGCACCTGATAAGCATGTTTTCAAATGTACTAGCACAGCCTCTTCATCATAATGCTGTTGGAAGATGCAGACATACAGTACTGTATTACACACACACTTGATTCCAAAGGAAAATACTTATTGGGCACCTTACACCAAGTACAGCTTATGTATGGTTTTACATAGCACGTTTTTCATCCAGCTCCAGGATGTGTCATGAGAGGTATTCTGAGCATAAGGAGGGGGAGGGCCAGATGGACATCAGCCTATATGTAATCTCCTGCAGTGTGCCAGATGGCTCAGTGACAGCTGACAGTGCAGATTAAAACAATCAAAACTCTGCCATTTCTCTCCCTTTATTCCTTCAGTCACATCTCACTCCAACTTGTTCCTTTTAGAGGTTTTGACAATGCAAACGCATGTGTACACACACACTGATTAGATCCTTCACTCATACAGAGATCATTTAAGTGTCCCAATAAGCCATGACAGTGCAACAGTGAGCCAGCATGCACAATACAAGGACACCGAATATGAAGCTGCTGAATAAAATTCAGCCATCATTAATTTTGTTATACTGTGACATGTTAAAATGTTGATGAAAAGCCTCTTGAGTAATTTTGACTGAACATTCCATCCTTACTTGTACTTGTACTGGATACGGTCCAACTCCTGGTAACTCAAGCCAAGATTAATGCCAATGACACGCCAGTCCTGTCCTATCTGAAGAGAGATGGACAGCAGATTGGCTTCTGTCAGATAGCCGCTCTCAGGGTCACCCAGATTCAAAGGAGGATACTGGACATCCTCCATGATATAACTGTTGTCTGAGTTTAGAGCCTGTGACAAAAACACAGAGGAAGGGAAGACATGTTTAATCTGAAGTAAGTTTGTATATGTGAAAGGATGGGAAACCTCACCGCTGAGTCTGTGATATAAATAACTAAGATTTAGCAGCGAAACTGAATAATCTTTATCTCGTTCAATTGGATTTAAAACATGGTTTAACCAATAACTGTATAACCAATACATGGACACTCCAATATTACCAAAGGACAGCATCAAATAAATAGTTTATACTAGTAATATAGAATTCACAAATACAAAAATTATTTATGTTGTTTTATGTTATGAGGGGAAAAAACTGCAACTTCAACTTACAGGAAGTCTTAATGGTAAAGTTGCAAGCCACTGGCTGTCATGTCCTTTCCTCTTTTTTGCCAGTTCCTCTGGCAGACTGACGGGAATCTCTCCTCTGTAGAATGACACCTATAAGAGAGGTACAAATCATATTCCCAGTGCGTTCTCTGAACAATACTTACAAACTGATTCATGAGACAAAATAACAACTGCATTTCGAACAGGCACTGAGCTGGGTGGCAACAGTAAATGCTGAGTGAGAAAACAGAGAAAACAACCATGTACATATATACAAGTTAACAATAAGCTATTTTATGTACAATGATAACATCTCTAAGTTATTGCACTGTGGTGTTTACTGTATCTTGTTATACATATAAACATGAATGAACTGTTCATCAGAGTGATGGAAGAAACTGTCCTTGTGTGTGGTTGTTTTGGCGTACAGTGTCCTGTAGCGCCACCTAGAGGGGAGGAGTTCAAACTGTTTGTGCCCAGGATGTGAGGGCTCTGCAGAAATCTTTTTTTTTTTTTTAAAAAAAAGCCAATATAAAACACCCTCAAACAACCTCAAAATATACTATGGAGTTGAACCACCACATTTCTGACAGTGTCACCAACAATTAAAAATGTTTTTGTTTCCTACTCTTCTGGCCACATACAGTAGTGTAGAGCATGCTATACTGTATGTACTGTAGATAGGTGACAGGTACAATATATTATTGTTTGTCAAAATATTCTGTGTGTGAGGACCTGCTGCCCATGCACCATGTGCCACCATGTTGTTTGGAAATATAGCATCCACAATGTAACTGATTCTACATACAAATAATGCAGAAAACATTAATGACAGTGAATATGAGGTCTGTCTTACTTGTCCCCTCACTGGTCCCTTCTGACCTTGAGCAGGACAGATGTAAACTTCCTTCAGATTCTTCAGGCTGGAGTAAAACACAAAACAGAGTCTTCCCCCGACACAGTCTGGTCTGTCTAGAGAAAACAGGACAATATCATGTCAAAAGTTAGACAGCACATTACAGGACCTTGGAAAGAACAGAACTGAAGGAAAAAAATGTTTATTTTAGATAGTGCCTCAAAGAGGACTTCAGACCTGCACTGATATCTAAGCCCTTCTCAAACCCAGCAAAGAACTGCTCTCCTTCCAGCAGGTCACACAGGTCTGAAGGCTGAGGTCCATCATACTGCTCTGACAGATACTGCACTCTGCCTTCCACCTGGGCAGGAAGCATCACAATTGCTGTTGAGAATTTATGCAGTGATGAAATCGGTTCGACCCAAAGAGTACTGAAGCTGAGACGCCACATACAGAAGCCGATAAAAAGACTGATATACCGAGTGTCCTTGGTGCAAGCAGTTCCAATAATCTGCACAGTTACAGCACAGAGAGGACAATTACAAACCTTGTTAGCAGGTAAACACTGCAGCAGAACTTGAGAAGCATCAGTCCTTCGCTGGAGGACAAGGAACTGGACTTTAAATTGTTTTAGCCGTTGGTAGACCTTCCTGACCACCCCACTAACACAGCGCTGAGTAGTGTACCAGAGCCAGTACCTGTAATTATGCACACAATGCTGTATTATTACAATTTAAATAACTTATTTTTTTCTGAAGATTAGGTATCAACATCTATTCAAGGACAAGACAAATACATGTTGACAACATCAAGGATTCTTTAGAATGGAGAGTATCGATGCTCCTCTAGAGAGAGTGTCACATTGCAGGATGTTTATAGCCCTAAAGTTGCTAGGAAAGCCAGCCTGTTCATGGCCAGTCTTTCAGAGTTAGCTAGCCCTAAAAGTGCTCAACTAGCAGGTGTTTCTATGGGCTGGTGCAATGTGTTGCTGCAATGGAGAAAATATGTTTATGAGTGAAAATGAGTTTATAGTGGATAGCTGAGTGGTTTCAGCAGGCACCCATGTATGGGTACACATTGATGTGTGTGACATCTGTGGTTTGAGCTCTCTCACCCTGTTTCTTTGTCTATCTACACTGTACTGTCATTTAAGAATAAAAAGCTTAAAATAAAACAGCTGTTGGAAAAAGGGGGTTTGCCTTATTATTAAGGTCACCTTAGAGTCAGGACAATATAAATCAAACATACATCATGTGAATATAATGTAGTCGAGAAACTTACCAGGAGAAATGTGTAACGTAGAAAATGGCATACAAATGGGTGACATAAAGGGACACTTGTGATGTGATGTCAGTCCAGGTCTGGGCAGCGGGGTCTCCATGCAGCAGATGCAAACAGGACATATCAACTGTATGGCCTGCAAAAGCACCAGCTATGTTAATGCATGCTGATATATCCTGTTATGTATAAAAACGAAGATGGCATACGGTACCTGTAACTCCAGATGGCAGAGGGATCTGAACTTTGATAGGCTGCAGGAAATGTGTGCTGGGAGTCTGGGAGAGGCAAAGGAGAGGGCTGACTCTGGCCTGAGGATCACCACACACTGCCTGTACCTCTGACACGGACACCTGCAGCACCTACAGAAAGAGGGACAAACTAAAGCCTAGTGGACCTCCATCCCATACAACTGACTGATGTGCTGATCTTCCACATGCTGTACTGCTAATCTACTCATTTTGCCTGCCTGTAAAATAATGGTGCGAGTCTGCACGGTGGAGTCTGGAGGGAAGTGGAGCTTGATTCCGGGGTCAGAGCTGGACACCAGCAGTGCTCCAGCTGGTGTAACAGAGCAGCTGTCCTTCACTGGATGGGACACTGCCATAAACCAGGAGAACTGGCTCACTGAGCAGCATGCCAGCTACAGGTATAACAAGAAGTCTTTTTAATCAGTGCCAACATTACAAATTGCAATACAAAGAAAAAAAATCTGATTTCAACTGTAATGATATTCTGAAGTGGGAGGTTTGTGTTTTACCCTGGCCGGACGTCCCCCAGGGTGACTGCTATGGCTATCGCTTCCTCTCCTCAGATCAGTGGGCAGAGTGCTCCATGACTGTCCATCAAACCTCCGCACAACCACCTGCCTACGTTTTGTCCGACGATAGGGCACACACACCTCCACTGGCTGTAAGAATTTCAAAGCTGAAGTGAATTTATATCATGCAAGTGCACAAAAAAAAAACAGAATCACAATATTGGAGGAAAAATAACTTCAAAATAACCAATCCAATACACCACACTGAAATCTGCCCAGACACCGACCTTATTAAGTGAAGATACTGCACCTTTATAAATGTAATTCCATGGGGACGAAGTTCCAGAGGGCGACTCAGTAGGATTTCATGCTCCTCCAGCCACACCCACTTCCTTTCTGGCCTTTTCTCAACCCACTCCAGCCTTGTGGCTGTCTCTAGACACCCTGGGGGGAACAGCAGCTCAGCCCCTCCTGGGAGAAACACATGACACCCAGCAGGCGAAACACAGAAACTAAGGAGCAAAAAAACAAACAAACAATATGACACCTTTAATCTTAATCTAGTAACAAACACCTTACTTGACAATATTACTGCAGAGAATGAGAAAGTATCTCCATGCTGATCTTGACACTACCTGTGCTGATTATATCCAAGGTGCAACTCCAGAACTTTTGCTTCTGCATGATCTGGTAAGAAAACAGTCCTAGGTATAACTGAGGCGGAATATATTACCAGCATGTAAACACTGTATTTAATGACTATACAACAAAATCATTTAACCACTAATCAATTGGAAGTCAATTTCTATGCTTACCAGGTGTGGGAGGGAGAGGGGGGTGGATGGGAGGTTGTCCCAAAGGATTGTCACGCACATCTATTTTCAGCAAAGGCCGATTTTTCAGACAATGTGGGATCATATGAAGGTCATTGCTGTAGATGACAAGCTCCCTGAGTGAGAAGAGAGAACCTTGGCAACAACAAAAACAGGTTAAAACCCTTTATTTATTGCCACTATATTATTGTAATAGATTTGCACTCACATAAACCCTGTTGCCCTTACCTATGCTCTCTGGTAGTTGCTTCAGCTTATTGTGGGACAATTCCAGCTTAACAAGCTCCTCCAGAGAACCAATTTCATCAGGTAGATGCTGGAGGAGGTTATATGAAAGATCCAGTGTCTGTAGTGATTTCAGCTGACCCAGACTTGGGGGAAGAGAGACCAGCTCGTTCCCCAGGAGGGAGAGGTAGGTGAGGCAGCACAGCTGGCCTATATCATGAGGCAAAGCTGAGAGGCGGTTGTGACAGAGGAGCAAGGAGGACAGTGCAGGCAAGATGAGTAGGCAGGACGGCAGACAGGAGAGCTGGTTGAAGGAGAGATCCAGATGCACCAGATGTGTAAGAGAGGAAAAAGATGCAGGCAAAGTGGTGAGGAGGCCAGGCAGAGGGTCACCTTGTGAGTCATAAAAACAGTGCCCTTAAATTAGAAGAAAAGTTAGTTAGAAGCAGCAACACAAAGAGAAAACACAGCATGACACCCAGAATATAACGTATTAATAAAATATTTAATGTTTCTACTTTATGTTAAAATTTCATCAAGACCTAGAAAAAAAAATACAATGGAACTATGCCATTTAATCATCTGTGTTAATAAGAAGCTGATATTGCATGAAATTAACCAAAGAAATACCCCGTATAGCCAGTGAACGCAGCTCTGTCAGATGGGGTATAACATCCAGTGCACCATCCAGACCTGGTTTATCCTCAGAACCCAGTCTGAGATACTGGAGGCCCCCCAGCTGCCCGGGGATGGATGCCCATAACAATGGCAGTGCAGCTGTTCCTCTCTGATATACATCCAGGGTCAGCCTTGTATCAGTCAACACAGCTGAGAGCTCCACAGAAGGAGGCAAGGGTGGCGTCAGAGACAAGACTGAGGGTGACGAAGATGTTGATGGTGAATAAAAGCTGGCATGATGGTGGTTGGAGAAGAATGAGGAGGACGAAAGGCTTGAAATAGAAAGACCACTGGTGTTCACGAGGCTGGGGGGAGATGCAGAGGAAGAATTCCTCTCGGCTTGGCCTTCAGACATGACACCACCTGGTATCTTCCTCTGTGATTTATCCTGATCCTGGAGCACAAGACCTCCCCAGAGCCTCTGGGCCAAAGTGTCTGAAGAGGGGTCTGGTACTCCACCTTTAAACATTATCCTTGACGGGTTACATGCAGCCGTCACCTCCACATTTTCATCCTTCTACCCGTGTGTTCTCATAATCCAAGTGGCTGCCTGGTCACCATCTTCTTCATCAGGAGCTGCCCCTTCCTCGCTGGTTCTCTCAGTTGAAGCTGCTGTTCATAACACTAAACAGCCAGCTACGCTAAGAATTGCCTAATAGCACAGTTGCAGTCCCGAGGGTTTCTTTCTGCAGTCATGACAGCTTTGGATAAATTCGTCGTCATTTGACAGAGATAAATTTGACTGCCAAGTAAAGACAAGAGACGCGAATATTTTAATATGTTTGCTGAGTTAAGTGTTTGTATGTTACTAGCTAGCTCCAGCTGTTATACCCCACCATATTTACGCTGTTTGACAAAAATGACAAATCTGAGGGCCTATGTTAGAGACGCTTGTTTCGTTAATAATGTTAAGTTCTAGCCAATGTAATGTTGACTGAATAATGTGTAACTTTAGTCTCTAAGTTAACCTGTTTCTTCCATCTGGCCTGATTCATCCTTCTCTCTAGTTACTTCCTTGAGCCCGAATGTTTTTAAAAGAAAAGCAATTGCGTCACAGTTCTCTCGTTCGTTTTGCTTTACATAGTGCACCGCCGGGAGGAGTCTAGTCAGGACACGGATTTAAAAAGAAGGAGCCCCGCCCTCCCGGTTGTTCGTGTTTGTAACATGAGGCTCCTCGATGCTGGCACCGCCAAAGTTTCAATTCAGGGCGGGACAGATGTGTCCACGTGTGCACTCGCTGTCAGTCCCTACTCGGCCGTAGGGTGGCGCTGTTTAGTCAGCTCATCTACTGAGTGTGTGGCGTTTTCACGGGTGTTTTGTGTACTGACATTATGTGATACATGCATTATATGCAAATGGTTCACTGTAAACACCTCAGTTACATACAATTAAAAATGTTATAGCATAAGGCAGGAATAATAGCTGTATTCGGGACTTTTTAACTAAAGAATCGGTCCATTTATCGTGATTTAAACTTAGAATTTTAAAACAAGTTAGTGAAAGTAATAATAAAAATAAATGAATTCTCAGTATTGCCATTTCCTTTAAAAATACAAGAATTAACAATAAACTCAAAATGATTTTCATCTTATGGCATTGCATAAATCTGTATTTTTAGTTTAAAATATGATAACTGAAATACCAAAACATTAAATGTATTTGTGATTTATTTTAAAATTTCAGTAATCATTTAAAAACAGAATAACAACACCTTTTTTTGTCTTATAATGCATCAAATCTGAGTAAGATCAAAATATCTTTAGGCCCATATATTAAAAATAGCCTATGTTGCATATTAGCAGAGGAAGATTAAGGCTATCCTGTAAATTGTACTTAAGTGAGTTTAACATGGCCTACCTGTATATTTTTCTATATTGTTCTTCAAAAGGGCTACACATCCTGTTTGTGTATTGTAATGTATTTGTCATCCATCGATACAAGCAGCATTGTTTACTTGTAAAGAAATGCATGTCACAAAGTTCATCTCTGTTGTAGAAACCATTTAAAATGTGGAAAAGAATTTGTTTGAACCAGATACACTGTGCCAAAGGCCATGAGTGGTACAGTGAGCTATTCGGGTACAATAACAACATGCTGCTCAGAACACCTCCCAGTGCAGCTGTTGATTCTGACACCCAAGTGATTCAGAGACTTCTGGGGCCCCTGGGGGACGGTTGGCTGCTGGTAATAAAGAAGGGACACATTTTTAAGAATATGAAACCCAGCTGAGAGTGGTTTCACAACAAGATATGCTCTGAGGAATCATGTCCTAAAGAGAACCTGTGTCAAAAATCGATTATTT